TCGAGTGCCAATCAGGGCCGTGACTCCGGGACGCCCGCGGCTCCCGGTGCCCAGGACTGGCCGGCGCTAGTTGTGTGTTATTGTTCCTGCGCTCCCGACTTCATGGCCCCGGGCCACGGCCAGCTCTGAGACGCCAAGTTCCCTCCACAGACTCGGCTGACTCGTGAGCTTGTCAACTGGCCTGGCCCTCCTGTTCATGATCTGGGACGCCGGGACGAAAGGTGACTCTGATCTGGAGGGCTGGCCGGCTCAGAAGCCTCAGGCAGGCAGTGTTCCTTCTGAAATCCTTTATCCTTTCCTGTCACACCTGTCCCTCCATACGACACCCCTGTCTGTGGACCTTTCCCCTCCTTCCATCAGAACCCACCTGCCCAGGGCCTGAGGGTGATTCCGAGGCCACAAAGAGGTGTTAATGGCTGAAGATGTCTTCATATGGATGGCCTCGTGATAACATATTTAACAGGGGCCTTTAATGCCTTAACCCAAAGAAGTGATTTTGACCATGAGATTTTTAGAATTTGGCTGGGCTCGGTTCATATTACCAGGCCCTGTTTCTGGCCCTGGGGATACTGTCCCTACTTAGAAGGGTGGTATTTCCGGAACAAGAGCCTAAAATTGAACCATGTAGACAGACATCTGTTCCACCTAAATAGAAGGCAGCTTTCAGAGAGGCTGCCTGGGATTTGGAGCTGGGTTGGGTGACAGCTGGTGCATGTTGCGTCTAAACAAGCCAGACTTGGCATGGTCCAGCTGCTCTCCTGAGGGTGCCTGTGAACACTTGGGGGTTGACAATTTAATCCTGAAATCAGGGAGTGTCTGCTTCCTGGGTACAGGACATATGTAGACAAATCAGATCCCTCCAGAAGACTGGGCAGGGTGACACCCTTTTCCTGGTGGGACACCTGTGCCCGGGAGGTTTGGAGCAGCTTCGAGGAAGTCCACGGGAGGAAAACAGTGGGGGAGCCATTGCAAGCTGTGACCCCCTCGGTTCTCCAGGCGTACATCATGTTCATTTTTGGTTTTGAAATTTGGGGTAGCAAAACAATGCTATGCTCTCTTAGCTTATATTTTTGCTGTGACAGCTTTTTCCTTGCTCTCTTTAAGGTACTGGTAGGTTCTGAGTGCACAAAGCCACAGTGGGCCACACATGGGCTCTGGCAAGTCATAGACAAAACTACACATCTAGTGCATGCAGCCTTCGGAAGGGCAGGGTACGGGTCAACTCGGGCTGCCACGACAAACCACCACAGGCTGGGTGGCTGAGACCACAGAAAAGTTACCTTCTCTTTGTTCTGGGGGCCAAGGTCCAAGATCAAGGTGTCAGCAGGATTGGTTTTTCTGAGGACTCTCTACTTGGCTTGCAGGTGGCTGCCTTTTTGCTGTGTCCTCTCATGGTCTTTATACCTAGGTGTCTCCTAGTAGGTCCAAATTCCCTCTTCTTATAGGGATACCAGTCAAATTGGATTAGAGCCCACCCCCACTCGTTAGGTGATTGATTTTAATTTAATCACCTCTTTAAAGGCCCTATCTCCAAATGCGGTCACTGTACGCTGAGGTACTGGGAGTTAGGCCTTCAATATATGAACTTGGGGCAGGACACGATTGAGCCCCTAACAGGCAGCTTGTTTCGTAGCAGGATTACTTGATTCGTTTCACAGCATGATAGAGGGAAGATAAGCGAAGCCAGTTCTGGTCCCAGTAAAGCCACTAAGTCACCGCAGATCCTTGGGCAACCCTCTTCTACCCTGAGGGGCTTGGCCTAAATTGTTTCCAAGCCTGCTCTCCCCACACCCACCCACAACTCTCATGATTCAGCCTCATGTAGAAAAATCCATATTGTTCTCGTATGTGACTTTTCGACTTTCACCT